TGTTAGTACTCAGTGGTGTGTGGTCCTGATGGAGATGTTAGTACTCAGTGGTGTGTGGTCCTGATGGAGATGTTAGTACTCAGTGGTGTGTGGTCCTGATGGAGATGTTAGTACTCAGTGGTGTGTGGTCCTGATGGAGATGTTAGTACTCAGTGGTGTGTGGTCCTGATGGAGATGTTAGTACTCAGTGGTGTGTGGTCCTGATGGAGATGTTAGTACTCAGTGGTGTGTGGTCCTGATGGAGATGTTAGTACTCAGTGGTGTGTGGTCCTGATGGAGATGTTAGTACTCAGTGGTGTGTGGTCCTGATGGAGATGTTAGTACTCAGTGGTGTGTGGTCCTGATGGAGATGTTAGTACTCAGTGGTGTGTGGTCCTGATGGAGATGTTAGTACTCAGTGGTGTTGTGGTCCTGATGGAGGTGTTGTTAGTACACAATGGTGTTGTGGCCCTGATGGAGATGGGCCGGTGGCAGAGGCTCCTCCTATCTTGGGGATAAGGAGCTAGCATTGGGACTGGAAGCAGGGATAGCTGTAGCCTTCAATTCCCATCTCTAGTGAGGAGCCCACTTCTCAAGGCCAGGACACATCATCTCAAGGTCCCAACACCTCCCCACAAATAGTGCCCTGGCTGGGGACCAGGTCTTCAAAATAAGAGCTTTTGAAGGACATTTCCAACTCAAAGCATATCAACTTAAAGGCACCTCTTATGAAGTTAAGATCATTCTGTTGAGTTAAGGAACATGAGCTGGAGGTATACAGTGACTGCAACATGGTTTGTTTGTGATATTACTGCCCTGGGTACAAATTCAGAACTCAGGCCCCAAAATAAAAATAAAATGGGGTTAAAAAGCTTATAAAACTGATTTCGCTGGCAGTGAGATACATATGGGTCTCACTAGGCTAGGAGGTGGTGGCACACACCTTTAATCCCAGCACTCAGGGAGCAGAGGCAGGTGGATCTTTGAGTTTGAGGTCAGCCTGGTCTATATAGTGAGTTCTAGGACAGGCAGAGTTTACACAGAGAAACCCTGTCTAGAAAACAACAGCAACAACCCCCCTATCCTCCTACCCAGTAGCAATGCAGATCAAAGAAATAGGGTATCAGGGTAT